CATATGGGTTGTTCTGCACGGTTCTAATGTGACAGTGATGTGACTTTAAAATAACTATAATCCAGCTCGGAAGTGAGATGATAATGCAAGCGAATAACATGGTCAAACACCATCCAAAGCTTGATTACACTGTATTTCCTTTGCTTTTATTTAAGGGGATTTATACAAATAAGCTTGGGGTGTGTTTGGCATTTATCTCAGTGCACTGTATTGTGGGGTGTTTTTTTAAAAAACTAATCTAGTCACGAAGACAGTAAACTCCCCATATTCCTCATCTTTTCGAAATAAATGACACTATATTATGTAGGAAGGATGGCAAGAGCTATGCAAAGTGAAATTTGTTATGTGGCTGACATCAGCCAGACTTGCTGGTGGGAATTTTATCTCACAACGTATAAGAAGAGAAGAAGAGCCTGGCTGTTGGATCAACCCAGAAGCCCATTTAGTCCAGCATCCTGTATTCACCGTGGCCAACATGATGCAGGTGAGAATCCAGCACTCAGGACCCTCAACACAACTACATTATCTCCACCTGAGATTTTCCAGAGGCATTTGTCAAGCCACAGTAGGAAGCAAGATCATGAATGAAACCAGCAGCAGACAACCTTTGTCTCCAGGGCCTAATTTATACAGACCTGCATCTAACTTCATGTGTGTGACAACAAAGTGAGTGAAAAAGAATGGGAGAGAGAGAGAAGGGGTGTATTGCCCATTTTGGCTCTGGTCATGACCACTTTACCTTTAGTAAAGACCCCCAAAAAGAACATGATCAACACTTGGCTCATCAGTTGGTGAGCTGAGGGTTCAATCCTGCTGAGTGTAGCTTTGCCAGTGTCTTTCTTGCGGGGAATATGCTGGCAAAGCAGACCCCTCCCCTCACTCCATGGTTCAAGTTTGACAGGTGAGTAGGACTAATTGCCTATCTGTGACCTGATTTCATCATGACGTCAGATGATTGAGAGGTAGGTGGTACTGTACACCTGTCAAAGTTGATGCACAGCTATATGGAGATAAAGATCTGGCCCTCCATGCTGAAAAGGTTCTCCACAACAAATCTTGTCCAGCCCTAGCTATTGCCTGAGTTCAGAAAAACACACAAAACTGTGTATTTCCCACCTCCATCGAATGAGTTAATCAATATGTTCAATATGTTCTTTTCCTGCAAGTGCCACAAATAAGGTTCCTGGGTTCTTCTTCCTCCAAAGGAAATGAATTGCATGAAAGCACTTTCGATATTGTTGGCACTTTAAAGGTTGACTAATGTTAGGAGGTGGAAATCAGCACAGCCAGGCTAAGTGGGAAAGCGCCTCTCTCTGCCAGGTTCTAAATTGTATTGTTAGAGTGGCATGATTCAGAGTGATGAAATATGAATTCCAGCTGAAGGATTTTCCTCTGGCCCAAACTGAAATAATTAAATGTCTGGTCGCTTAACCCAGGAACCTTAGCCTCTGCCTCATGGATAAAACAAACATCTTGCAACAGACTGGCAATTCTAGACTCTGTACTGTGTCACGGGGACACTGGTTTTATGGCTGAGGAAAATGGAAGCAATTTGAGTTGGCTTCCATTCCCTCCCCCTGGCAAAGTCAGAGTGTGTATAACAGCTAGCACCCATTGGTAACGTTAGCCTGTATGAGGAACCTGGTGAGTGGTGACTGACTAGGCACATTGGTGTAAGTCTCTCGGGGAGCATTTGTGCCTCAAAGTGCAGAGTTGGAGGGGAGAGATAGACTTGCTCCACATTTTACATGCTTATGCTCAGCACATGAAACAGCTGGATGGCCAAAAGAATTCTGAAACGCTGATAGAGGCTGTAGTTAAGATAAGCCTGCTAGATCAGGCCAATGGCACATCTAGTCAACCATCCTGTTCTCAGAAAGACTAGCCAGATCCCTATGAGCAGAACTGAGCGCAAGAACAATCTCTCCTCCTGCAGTTTCTAGCAACTGGTATTCAGAAGCACTACTGCCTCTTACCATGGAGGCAGATTATAGATATAAGTATTAGTAGCCACTGGTCGACGTATCCTTAGATAGGAATGGACAGATCAACATACTATGAGTCTGAGAGTTTCTCTTTTTTCCCATTCACAAGTTTCTTCCACACCATTTATACACTGAATCTGCTCTTTAAAAAAAAGTGCCGCACAAAAGCACTGTGTTTAAATGCATCTTTGAACATACTTTCTCACAAAGTGTGCATTTCTAAACATATGTTATTCCCAAATACATGCACATCTTGGTACATAGCTTTTAAGCTAAGAACTGAATTGAAAAACTCAAAGAAGTGTGAAATCTGAAGAACTGCTATATTCTGATCCGCACATTAGTCACGGAGGTACGGATCAGGTCAATTCATATCAGAATTTTCAATGAATGAATTCCTCAAAGCATCTCTACTTCCAGACTTTTAACACTCCTCCTCCAATAAAGGTTTTGAGGTCTGGCTGTTATCCTGAAAGTTAAAAGCACTTAACCTGTTCTTTTGATATATTTCAGTTCAGAAATAACATTATTTCTAAGGGAAGGATTTTAGAGAGCATTCCGATTTCTGTATCTTGTAATTAGATCCTTCTCAACCATATTTTTATTTCAATTTTCTTTCAGGTGGAAAATTATCATTTCATATATATATATATATATATATATATATATATATATATATATGGCTTGCAAGGGTGAGATGAAACAGTTGAGGGAAGGGAAAGAGGAGTATATGAAGAACTAAATTAAGAAATGTTACTTCAAAGTGAGGAAAAAATACAGCAATTGCCAGAGATCGACTCTCGGCACTGGAGAAAGAAAAAAATGCATTCACTGTTCAGACAGTTTCTACAACATGTTATAGAGAAGGAAAGTACCAGCGCATTAAAAGAGCAGCCTCACTAATTGAATGGAAATGGAACTGCCTTCCATTAAATTGAAATGCAATTAGCATTAAATAACATGTGAAGGCAGAAGTTACTGAAAATGTTTACATCCATTTATCCATTTTGAAGTGGATTTCAACATTTCAGCTATGGAAAAAGGAAGTGATGTATTAGAATTTAAATACCTCCTCAGTCCCAATGTTCGAGGGGCAACAGAAGCAACCCCTGGACACATTCCTTTAATTTTCCACTGTTAGAGATTGTTCTTGGTCCAAGATTGTTCGGGCACAGCTCTGGGGCTGCTTACTTTAAGCTGCATAAAATAAGCTGCTTTTGTACCATTCAGGTGATTAAATTCAACCTTCCAGTTGGCTAAATACCACCACCTGGCTCTGGTTCCCTCAAATGTCTCATCCTGATTATGGCAGCTTATTTAATAGAGGTTCATATGCATCCTAAATGCCTGCTAGAAACCCAGCTTCAGGTTCTCTGCGGAAACAGGAGAGGTCCGGGGTGGGGGGGGGGGGAAGCATAAGAATAGGACCTTGGACAGCTCTGATGAAATTAACTCACAAAAAAAAACCCCAGAAAGATAGTGAAAATAACAGCCACAGAGCCTAGGACTTGCCAATCAGTAGGTTGGCGGTTCGAATCCCCACGACGGGGTGAGCTCCCGTTGCTTGATCCCTGCTCCTGCCAACCTAGCAGTTCGAAAGCACATCAGAGTGCAAGTAGACAAATAGGTACCGCTCCGGCGGGAAGGTAAATGGCGTTTCCCTGCGCTGCTCTGTTTCGCCAGAAGTGGCTTAGTCATGCTGGCCACATGACCCGGAAGCTGTATGCCGGCTCCCTCAGCCAATAAAGCGAGATGAGCGCCGCAACCCCAGAGTCGGTCACGACTGGACCTAATGGTCAGGGGTCCCTTTACCTTTACCTATTAGCAACTATTTCCCAGGGTTTCAGGGCGGCTTCTCTTCCTGCCCTGCCTGAAGTTGGTAGGGATTGAGGTTGGGACCTCTTGCATGCAGAGCAGAGGTTCAGCCATTGAACCTTGACCCCCCTCCCCCGAGTGCTCAGGGTGGTGCAGGGCAATTATAACAATCACAACACATTTTTAAAATGAAATGACACTATAAAGAAAAAACAATAAAATTTGAGAGAAATGCAGCCTAAACATTTATTTTCCCCACAACTGAGGAAAGTTTGCTGAGGGAGTGGGATAATATTGTTTTGTTTGTTATCTGAAGTTTTTGCCAGTGTATGGTTAGCTTATGGGATCCACCTTTGCTTAGAAGGCCTAAAAAGGGGGAAATCAATGGGACAGATTCATGGAGGATAGGGTTATCAATGGCTACTAGTCATGGTGGCTATTTACAACTTCAACAATCAGAGGTAGCATATCTCTGGACATCAATTGCTAGGGAGCAACCAATTGCATCAATTGCTAGGGAACTTCTTACATTCTTAAAACTTGTATGTTTGCTTTCATAAGTGGGGCTCACTGGAAACCTGGCATCTGGGCAGAATAGGCCAGCCTTCTACAACCCGGTGCTCTTTGGATGCAAGTGCTTAATTTGAGCCCTGATGGATCAGGACAAAAGCCCATCAAGTCCAGCATCCTGTCTTCACAGACCACCCAAATACTTTTAGGAAGCACCAAATCAAGACCTGAGTGTAACAGCACTGCTGCTCCTGTCTTCTACTGCCTCCTGCAGTTTGGTCAAACTCATGCTGGTAGCTTAGTGGTCACTGATAGTCTTTTATTCCATGATTTTATCTAATTCTTTCTCAAAACCACTCAAGTCGGTGGTCATCGCTACAACTCGTGGGAGTGAATTCTAGTGTTTAACTATGCATTGTCTGATGTTCTTTCTTTTGTCTTCATTGAATAGCCATAGCTTTGTTGCTCCATTGAATAGCCATAGGTTCTAGTACTATGAGAAATGAAAATCTTCTCCCTACCCACTTCCTCTGCATTGTGAACACTTCTATACATCTCTCTCATGACCCTTCACTTGCCCTTATCCTAAACAGCCCCAAATACCATATTTTTCGCTGTATAGGACGCACCCGACCATAGGACGCACCTTGTTTTAGAGGGGGAGAACAAGGGGGAAAAAAATCTCCCCCTCTCTGCTCAGCGCCCCTTCAGCGAAGCGGCAGGAGAAATGGAGCCCCTTCCATTTCCCCAGCCGCTTCGCTGAAAGGGCGCTGCGCAGAGAGGGAGATATTTTTTTTTTCTTGTTCTTCCCTTCTAAAACAAGGTGCGTTCTGTGCATTCAAGGTGCGTTCACCCGAAGCCTCTGGAGTGAACTGACCCCTCTCACTCTCCAGGCTTTAGTGAAGGCAACCCGAAGCCTCAGGAACATAAATATAGATTGGAAATGGCTGTGTATAGTGAATACTTATCTACTTTTAAAATTATCATTTTTTATCTTATTTCTTCCTTTTCTTTATCTTCTTCTTGTTCTTTTCTTTTATATTTTACCTTTCATTTCTTTTCTTTATTGTGAATATTGTTTTGTAGAGGTGTAAATAATTGTAAATATGAGAAGAGGTAAAATGTTTTCTAATTTTCTATTGGTTACATGTATTTTCCTTTTTTGTATATTTGTATTTTTTTCTAATTTGTACTCAATAATAATGATAATAAATAAATAAATAAATAAATAAAGCTCACCACTTGTCCATCTCCTCGTCCCACTTGGCGGCGTCAGGCAACTTCATGTTTTGTCACATGAAATCAAGGAACATGGAGGCCTGCAGTAACCGGACCAGCCTCTGGAAGTGCCGTGTATGGTAGGAGAGACTCCACAGCTGCTTTGATCCCTTCGTATTGCAAGAGGCTCTCTGGCGTCTCATGCTTGAGGAAGGTTTCCACCACTGCCTGAGCCTCGAGGTAGTTCCGCCAGTTTGTGCTCCACGTGATGGAAAACTTCAACACAGCCTCTGGAAGAAGGGGTTTGGGGAAGACACGTCAGGAAGGAGTGCACGTTGCAGGCAGAGTGGCCACCTTGAACCAACACACCTCTCTTGCGAAGCGTGGCCAGGTCTGGGCACACATCTGACCTGCGCCTTTCTTCAAGGCAGGGAAGCAGATCCAACACCCCTCCCCACCTAGTAGAAACAATTAATGATGGGAGGGGTGACTGGGTTTATTCCAGACTACATGGCTTGCAGGAATGGGTTTTATAATATTTATAAAAGTACAACAACAACAACAACAACAATATGCATTATAATTTTTGCTCTAGTATTATGGAGCTGGTGGAGCTAATTTGAGGCTGTGTACACACCATACATTAAAAGCATTATCGCTTCTCCCCTGTAAGAATCCTGGGAACTGTAGATTACCCTTCTACCGCATAGCTACAATTTGTAGCACCCTTTACAAACTGCAGTTCCCAGGATTCTTTGGGAGAAATGTGCTTTTAATGCCTGTTTTTCCTGCAGCAGGCATGCTCAGCTACCCCTCTGGAAGCTCAATCCCACAGAAAGCTATGACGGCCACCAACTTGGATGGTTTTATGCAGGAAAGGCTATCAATGGCCACTAGGCACGATGGCTATGCTCTACCTCCACAGTCAGTGGCAGTAACGTTTGTGAATAGTAGTTGCTGGAAGATGCAGGAAGGGAATACAGAATGCTCTTGTTTCCACAGGCCTCTGGTTGGCCACTGTGAGAACAGGATGCTGGACTAGACAGGCCAATGTGGCCTCATCCAGCAGGCACTTCTTATGTCCTTACGTGGTTCAAGGGTAGAGATTGTGAGAAGGCATCTTCCAAAGCAATCCCATCCCGCAAATAGCTTTGGAGCCTTCTTGCCTCTAGCCTAGCCCTCACCCCTTTTCCTGTTCCCGCTGGAGTCTTCTTTTGCTTGCCACGCCTCTTCCGGCCAACGCTGCCAATGACGGATCTTAAAAACTTGGGGTCTGTGAGATTCGGCAATCGCAGCACCTTGCGCCTGCTGGACCTCCTGAGCGGAGCGGGTTGTGTCTTGCTCCTCGTGAAATAGGGTGAAATGTGAGGAGTGTTGCAAGCCGGTGCAGAGGCAGAAGGTCTGGCCGAGATGGTAGAGCACGGCTTCTCTGTCAGGGGCTTCTTCCTAACCCAGTGGAACACCAGTATCATACACCTCTTAGATGGGTTGGACATGCTGAAGAAGGTGCTGGAGGCCCAAAGACCAGGGTGACTTCAAAGCGGAGGACGCAGCAGGCAGTTCCCTATCAATGGTGCCAAATCCAAGCAAATGTTAGCTCCAGTCCTGTTAAATCGATCCAGCAATTATGAATGTTAAAGAAGGGATTAATTCCTCAGGCAGTAGGAAAAGACTTTCCGTAGCTTTTTAATAGATGGGAGCCCCCAACTACTGCCACTGTTGACAGCCTGTTGCCCCTTCACTCTGCTTGAATGGGTTATGTCACAATGGTTCCTTCATCAGGTGTTTGTGAGCATGAAAATGCTGTTGGGAGTTTCAGCAATGAAGGCTCAGGCATAACATACTGTTTGAAAGTCTGAACATTTCCTCTTTTTTATTTAACAAAATTTATATACCACTTTTATAATTTCTATACAAATTATTAGGAGAGGAAGTTAAAAATATACTGTAGTTTATTCACTTAGAGGCTAGTTTACATACTTTATTCCTTCTTATACTTCTATCCCACCTTTCCTCCACAGAGCATACACACTTCAGCCTCCACCTTCTCCATTTTATCCTACAGCAATATTGTGAGCTAGGGCCATAGCTCAGTGGTAGAACAACTGCTTAGCATGCAGAAGGCATCAGGTTCAGTCCCCAGCATCTCCTGGTGGGACAGGGAGCGCTTCCTCTGCACTTCGGAGGCTTCGTGTTGCTATCGCTGAAGCCAAGGAGCCTGCATTTGCTCCCCTTAATTTTGGAGGGGGAAAGTGCGCCCTATAGAGCGAAAAATACGGTATGTTGCAACCTTGCCCCAGCCTCTTGATCATATAGTCAGACTACAGCTCCCATCAGCCCTAGCCAGCATGACCACTGCTCAGGGGTGACGGGAGCTGCAATCGAAAAACATCTAGAGGGCACCAGATTGGGGAACGCAGTCCTAGGTGAAGGAAGCCAAACCATCCAGGTCACCATATCTATTAAGTTTCCTGTTAAGCAATAGATGATTTGCTCAGTTTGGCAGTGGATCAAATCAAACTGTTCTCCCCCTTTTAGCATCTTGACTTTGAAACACTGTTTAATTAAAGAAAAATCTGCTCCAAATGTAGTTCTTAAAGAATTAGAATGTTTCTATTTTTACCAGGGTAATTACATCCTGCTCAGAAGTGCTTGCAGGTAGAAAAAAATATTTATCCCAGCCAGAAAAGAATAATTATAATAAGGTTTTGATTCTGAAAATAAATTGCAGAGGGATCAGTCAACTTGTCTTCAAGGCAGAATGTGTGTATGGTTGTGGGGGGGTGAGACAAAGAGAGGGTGTGTTTTCATTGCCGCCTTAGAGCACAGTGACGTTGTTGTTTTTCAGGTGCATTTCACAGCCCTTTCCTCAATCTTCACTTCAGCGCAACTTCACTGGCACCAGGTTTCTTTCTTGTGTGTGTGAACACCAAAGTTTGCTGAGGGGGGAAGGATATCTTTACCCTATGCAAAGGTGTTCCCACCTTGACCAGAGGTTACTTAGGAATGGCCTAAACGACTCTAACTGTTGTAAAGCTGGTTTGAGAAACAACACACAAAACAGTATTTTATAACAAAGTACAGGATGCATATGTATTTTGGATAACGTCGTGTGAATGGATTAAAAACCCAGAAGAGTGGTACCTCGGGTTAAGTACTTGATTCGTTCCGGAGGTCCTTTCTTAACCTGAAACTGTTCTTAACCTGAAGCACCTCTTTAGCTAATGGGGCTTCCTGCTGCCGCCGCGCCACCGGAGCGCAATTTCTGTTCTCATCCTGGAGCAAAGTTCTTAACCCGAGGTACTATTTCTGGGTTAGCGGAGTCTGTAACCTGAAGCATATGTAACCCGAGGTACCACTGTACTGGGAATTCAGTGATTGCACAGTAAAGAAAAGTGTGAGCACAGGCAGAGAGATTCCCATGGGGCACTGAGGAAACAGACTTTTACTAAATGTAATACAGGCACCCCCCCCCCCCCATTTTCATGGGAGTTACGTTCCCAGGCACTGTGCATGTCAATGAAATCGCATACAGTTGCAACCTATTGAAAAAGCCTGCAAATACCCTGTTCCACCCCAATCCCCCATTCTGCCCTTTAAGATACGTTTCAATGATTTATTTGTGATGCTTCCAGGTCACTTGTGATGCATGTACACATGGTCACACACATATTATACATGCGTAAATGGGGGAGCTGCCTGTATGCTTCCTGCTGGGCACATTTTTGCAGCCATCATGTATCTGATACATCAAAGAATTTCATCCTGTTGGCTTCTTCTTATGAGAAGCAAATATAGAGATAATCTTGGGATAATGCAGATTGGGTTGGGAATCCGCGGTCTTTCAGATGTTGTTGGATTCCAGATCCTGCCCCAGCTGACATGACCAATACTCCAGCAACAATTTTAGGGAACTCACTTCCAGTTCAGATCAGGCAAACCCCTCACTACTGAACCTCGGCACCACTTGAAGACTTTTATTATTATACTAGAAGACTTTTTAATTGTAGTTTGGTTTTATCTGTTTAGCTGATTTTTATTCTTTGCAATGTATTTTGTAAACTGCTTAGGGGCTACAGTAGTTAAGCAGTACATAAATTGTTTAAATAAATAAAATTAGGTAGGTAGCCGTGTTGGTCAAAATAAATAAAAAATATTATTTATTAAAAAAAATTGTCCAGTAGCACCTTAGAGACCAACTAAGTTTATTCTGGCTTTATGCTTTCGTGTGCATGCACACTTCTTCATATACACTTCTTCAGATACACTTCTGAATGCCTTCTTCAGATACACTTCTTCAGTGTGCATCTGAAGAAGTGTGCTTGCGCACGAAAGCTTATACCCAGAACAAACTTAGTTGGTCTCTAAGGTGCTACTGCACAATTTTTTTTTAATGTTGTTATAAATAAACATAAACACCAGGAAGTGCACAGGTATGCCTTCTCATCCATATGGAAAAGGATAGGACTTTCTAACACAAAATAGCTCCTATTTGGTAGGGCTAGCTCCAGAAGGCTCTGAGGTTGGGCAGTTGCTAACTAATCCACAAATCCACATCAATTGCCAAAGAAGGATTTGGATAAACACAGCAGAATCAATCCCATTCTATTAAATCACAGAATTGTACAGTTGAAGGGACAATGAGAGTCATCAGGTCCAAGAAGAAGAAGAAGAAGAGTTTGGATTTGATATCCCGCCTTTCACTCCCTTTAAGGAGTCTCAAAGCGGCTAACAATCTCCTTTCCCTTCCTCCCCCACAACAAACACTCTGTGAGGTGAGTGGGGCTGAGAGACTTCAAAGAAGTGTGACTGGCCCAAGGTCACCCAGCAGCTATTTTTGGAGGAGCGGAGACGCGAACCCGGTTCCCCAGATTACGAGACTACCGCTCTTAACCACTACACCACACTGGCTCCAACCCCCTGCAATGCAGAAATCTTTTGACCAATGTGGGGCTTGAACCCTTGGCTCTGAGATTAAGAGTCTCATGCTCTACTACTTGAACTAACCCAGAGTAAGGTGGGTAAGGTGAGGTGGAGTGGGGAGGAGTTAAACTAAACCCCAAGTAATCTCTGACAGATGACTGGTGCCAGGCTCTTTTTTCCACCACCCCCGCCAGCTATAGGACCTATCTGTCCCCGCCCCCTGCACAGATACCATCTCATTCTAGCATAGATATGAGGGAGAAATTTGATTCCTGTTTTAATGAAAACCAACTTAATTCGCACTTTCTGAAATACATGAACCAAAGCACAGCTATTCTGCAAAACTCACACATCTCTCAATTCTGCAACACAATTCTTCAGTCTAAAAATATATGCCTGTATTGGGGGGAAGCATGTATAAAACTGCATATACACTAATGGAACTGTCATACAAAAAAAAATAATGCATTATATTCTAGGGAAATGCTTGTAATGATAGGCATACTGGGAGATTTGAACACTAATATGCTAATGAATTTTCAGGAGGGATTTTTGGAATTGGTATTCACCAACTAATTGATGCAGCAATATGAAGAACTGAAGATTGGGAAAATGAGAAACAGAGAGAAACCAAAATTTTACAGATTTGTCTGTTCCCATTCTAGCCTTCTGTTCTCGCCCACCCCCTTGCTACAGCAACAAGTAGACTTCATATTGAAAGCAACAAAGCACCTTTCAGTCTGCAGGAAAACTAATCGATTACAATAACTTCCAAATGTCCTCTGGATTAATTCATATCATGCAGCAGCATTCACCCTTGGCTAAGAAGCCTTGGTGACTTTGGTGTTTCGTGTTGTTTCAAATGGACAGGCTGTTGTTTTATTTAAGGTCCAGAGAGGAATTGCTTACTCAGGAAAATGCCTGATGGCAACGATCCCTTGGACACCAAAGCTTCTATTGATTTGTCATTCATCAATGCAGCAAGCACAACTTACTTCAGCAAGGACTTGCATGATCAAGCCGGAAGAGGTGCTGGCTTTCTTTCAACTGGTTACTCAGTTTTGCCTTTGAGGTCTGGTTAGATCACATACTGATACCCACACCACTCTGTTAAAATAATTCTCAGAGTGGCTTTCAGTGAAAAACAACAAAAATCCTATATCTACATATATCTAACATTACATGTTCAGTATAACAGTATCAAGAATAACAATCACATTGTTTCATCTGCTACTCCTTTTGTTGTCTGCAGAGTGGGGGTATGGGGTAATTTCAGTTTGGTTTGCATCTTAATGAAATCCCCAAAATGCAGCTATCTTTCTACATTCATACTTACCAAAAGTTTGCAGTGCGAATTTTGGAAAGTTCTTTTCCACTTTTAAAAAAGGTGAACACAAATGCATTTGTGAGGGGAAAGTGTGTCTAAAATGAATGTATTAGTGAAAAGTATCCATCCCCAAAAAATTCTATTATTGACTAATTAGGGGAAATTACTTGCAAAACTTGTACAACAACAACAAACTTTATTACGGTCACAGACCAGCATAAGATACAAGCATGCAAATAAAAAAAAAGCACATAGACTTTAAAGAGGAGAGGAATAAAAGCAAATAGTAAAAAATTACTTGCAAAAAATGTGCATATTAGGCAGAATTTCATTCACAATGTATATTTTAAGGGAAATGTGCCCCCCAAAATGATGAATTTTCATTATTATTTTTGAAAATGCAAATTGATACAAAAAGGTAGAGAACTAAATTTCAGGTTAGAAGCTACAGATTCATCCATCCCAAAAAGAGCATAGTTTCTGAGAGTTTCAGTCAGATCCTACAAAGGGTCTCTTTCCCCTTTGGGAGCCACCTGAAGGCAGTAGCTCCTTATTTCTGATCTCTGTTTGGCTGATTTGGACAGCAGCTGCTAATCCTCTATAAACATCTCATTTCAGCTATTAAGTTCCACAAATATTAAAGGTTTAAACATAGGCAGATTTCCCCCCGAATTTGATCTTTTTGTGGGTTTTGTTTGTGGGTTTTTGTTTTACGCATTTATATCCACCTTCCTTATACCGCATTTACATGAATCTAATGTGCCATCAAATCTAATGAGCACCTCAGTTTTCAAAACCTTGAAACCAAAAAAGTATTTGCTGGCAAACGTAAATGCACCATCAAATCTAATGCACACCCTAATTTTCGCAAAGTAATTTGGCCAAAAAAGGTATGCATTACATTCGAGTAAATACGGTATATGACAGAACTCAAGATGCTGTAGGTAAGGACACCAAGTTGTCTTTCATCCAGGCCTTGACAACATAGGGAGACAGGACTCTCCCTTATACCAAGTAACACCATTGGCAATGTAGCTGAATACTTTCTATGCTGACTGGTAGCAGCTATCAAATGATTCAATATTTTCCAGCTCTACCTTGAGAATGTGTGGGTGGAATCTTGAGACTTTTATATGCAAAACATTTACTATACTACTGAACCATGGTGGGATATATGGAGTATTAGGGAAGGGGTAGGATCTCTCGTGGGGGACACATCATGCTCCTTCTGGGGTAGTTTGTCCACCTTTGGTCCCCACCCTGCACTCAGCTCTCACCTGTGGCTCCTAGAAGCTGTCTGCCTGCAACAGTGGCCACACAGGGGTGGTCATAACAAATCAGATTATTGATTCATCAAGCTCTGACTGGCAGCAGCTCTCCAGGGTTGCAGACAGCCCTACCTGGATGTCAGGCATCACAGCTAAGAAAGGCCCTCACCAGAGACCCTGGGCAGAGAATTCTGGGCGTGATGGTATATAAGGCAGTCTCATATGTTTATTTCAGTGCTGAGCCTTTAGGGAGTCATTAATATGTTTATGCCTTACACTTTACATCTTTAAAGGATGGGGGAATGTTGAATGCTTTCACCAAGCCTGATGCACTTTTAAGGTAAGCAATGCTTCCTTCTAGGATATCAGGATGCCTGAATGCAAAGAAATTAACTGCATAAACCCCTCATTAAAGTGCAATCAGTTAAGCTGAATGCTGATGAAAGGGAAATGAAGATCCCCCCCCCCACCTCCCATTAATTCAAAGAGGAGATTTGTCAACTTGGTGAAACAGAGGCCCAATTCTCCTCCCTTTTGCACCAGTGAGAAGCTCCCAAGGCAGATTATTCAAGTGCCAAAATAAATACAGGAGTTGAGTGTGTGGCCCACATTAAATCTTTGATGCATGAGGCTCTGAAATTTTAAGTGCCTCCTCTCTAAACCACTCCCTTGATAAATGCCATGGAATTGTTTTTCACTGAAATTTTCTTTAATGGGCTGTTTCTGGAAGGTGTGCAGGGGTGTATGTAGGCATTGGTGAAAGTGGTCCCTGCTGGGGGCGCAGGCCCAGAGGAGGCATAAAAAGCACCTCAGATTGCTCCAGCAATCTGTAGGGCAAGAAGCATGGGAGACAGATTGCCTGGATGTCAATCACCTTAGAAGAAACTGGGGTGGGGTGGGGTGGCAGGACAGCTGCTATCCCCACTGCTGCCTTCTCTGTGCCTGCTACCAATGGGGGCTTTAAACTTCTCTCAACTCTTGTGTGTGCATGCAGCTCTCTGGTGCCCCTACTACATGGGGAACTGACTAAGCCCTGCCTCCCTGCCTGGCTCCCCACTTGTGGCTGGGTGAGAGTGATATCTGGGGAACTGCATTGCTGCTGTGTGTGCCCAGCTGGGTGGGGGGGGATGTGTCATGGCCAAGAAGAGTGGTGTTGGCTCCAGTCAAAGAACCCCCAAGGGAAGCTGCAGAGGAGGAAGGCTGCAAACCAGGGGAGTGGTGGTGGGACACGGAAGATTGGTCAGAGGAGGAAGGAGGGTGGGATGCTGAAGAAGCAACAGGCTCGAGGGAAAAAGAAGAGCCAGGGATAGAAAGCCATTCAAAGGCAGGACAGGAAGCAGAGGGAAGCAATTCAGGTTCAGGATCTGAAGCAGGGGAGGGGGCAGGAGCTATGGCAACTTCACAGGAACTGACTGGTCTCACTGTATTAAGCTCCACTCCCCCTTGTATCCAAGGATGCACAGAACTTTGCATGTAGCCAAACAAAGAGCACAGAGAGCACAAGAAGCTGATTGGAAGACATCCAGCTGAGACTTCCTGTTTCCGGCAGTGGAAAATGGCTGATCCCACACAATCGGACTTCAGCCGTACGGATAATTCAGGGCTGATATGGGGGTAATTAGCCCTGGCAGCCTCCCCAGGGCAGGGGAGGACTGTCTCAACGACCCGCGGTCTGCCCCAGATTGCCGATGTGGCAGACGGCAGGGGCACTGGGTCACGGAGCTAGGAACGGCTGACACTCCTGCGACACCACCCCATAGCCGGACGCATCTGTTTGGGAAAATATAAAGATTTGGAAAACAAACAGACACGCTCTGAATTGAAGAAGCTGGAAAAAACCTGCAGTATGTACAGTCTCTGGTGCAAAAGATCGAACTTCAAAGAGATCCTCATCATGACGTTTGGAATGTGGAATGTGAATTCTTTTATCCTTAACATTAACAATCCGTAATGCATGCCAAGTCTCATTAAGAACTTAAATTGCTCTTCAAAAAGTGAGTTCAGATGGACTTTCATATATAATTGGGATCTACTCACAGCCACTTCTCTTCTAAGACCGGAAATGTCTGTTAAAGACAAAAACAAAGGACAAAGGACAAAATGGCGTCTCCCACCACGTCGTTATTGAATATCTGAAATACCTCCCTGATTAAGAGAAACAGGAGCTAACGGATGGTTGGTTATAAAGACTGGAAACAATATTACATATACAACTGTTTGCAAAAAGATGGTTTTTTGATTATGAGCGAGAGAGAGGGCTAAATGGATGTCTGGCAGCCCCCCTCTAGGGCCCAGAGGGGGGACTGGGAAGATTCCAAAGGCCAATTGCTAACTGTCTGATATATGGCTACATTGCAAACAGTCTGTTTAAGATAAATCAACAAGGAGGGTACAGAAGGAAATTTCTCTCTGTTTCTTTGATAACACCTGGACGGGAAAGATTAACGATCTGGGAGCTGCCAAAATAACAACTCTCAAAGAGCTGGACAGA